CTACAAAGCCTCGTGAAGATTTTTTTTTTCGGACTGGAGAGACGGTCTTGTGTTTTAGTCATATAATGTCCCTAATTAGTTGACCACGACTGTATATCATCAATACCGGCTTGATATATATCGGATATATATCCGATATATATCTTGATATATATCCCTTGATATATATCCTCGAACCCTGAAATAGTATTGACTAAGTTTCTTTGTAAAAAGTGTTTTTTTTTTTGCAATTTCTTTTAGTTAAAAAAAGTAGAAAAATAATTACTAATTTCCTACCTATTAGGACGAATTAATATTTATGTAGGTATACCATGATTGATACTTCTGGAGTCGGTGCCAAGATTATGAAACATGTAAAGTTTGCCTGCACCGACTCCAAAAGTATCAATCATGGTATACCTACATAAATATTAATTCGTCCTAATAGGTAGGAAATTAGTAATTATTTTTCTACTTTTTAGTGTAGGTTTTTTGGAGTCGGTTTTTTTTTTTTATAAAATTTTACTTATTTCTTGCTTTTTAGTTAACTAATTATTACCTTGATGTTACCACTGAAGGTAGGCAGTATATTGACACAATATTCTTCATGTCTAGTGTAAATAATATTCCATACAAAATACAGGTTACCATATAGGAAACCTAAAAGACCTTAAACCGTCAGCCCACCTTAAAAACATTAAAGAATACAACTGTTGGTCTATTTGTACTTATAATATTTAAATAATTATCCTCCAACTCCTAAGCATTAAGGAGTTGTACCTACCATGACCAATTCATCATGATGAGATGATGAATATCTGATGTAAACACTTGAATAACTTTAGAAACTATACTTATCTATAAAATTAAAATAATTATCCTCCAACTCCTAAGCATTAAGGAGTTTTACCTTCTATCATCAGCTCATCAATATGAGATGATGATTTCCAGGAGCAAATACTTGAATNATTAATTATCATTGTTTAATTAAGTGAATTATTTAGTTTTGTTTTGTCTTTTGATTATGGTGGAAAGGTATATTGTGTATTTGGTTGACATTGACAGTTTCTAATATTGTATCTAATTGTGGGTATACAAATAATAAATCAGTTATGCTTTGACTTGAGTTGATGTTGTATCTTTTAGTAATAAATTTTAAAAGTTGATATACAGTCGTGGTCAACTAATTAGGGACAGACAGAATACTAAGCAATACTAAGTGTTCATATCCTATTATTGTGAGCTTCATTCGATATTACTGACTGTTACTTTGTAAAAATATTGACTATCAAGTACTCTATTTAACAGAATACAATAACAACAAAAAAAACTTACTAAATTAATAAAAAAATTTGATCAAATCACATGAATCGGTAATTATGGTACGGACGGTCTGGCCACCTAATTAGGGACGCTTAAGTTTTTCCTTCTAAATTAAAAAAAATAAAAAGTAATAACTTACTAAAACTAACTTTATTCTGTTCATTTGTAATTTCGGCATCAATTTGAAAAGCGATATTCTTATCTTCCGAGTTAAAAACTCATCAAATTATTAAAGGTAATGGGCTGAAAGAAAAGCAACAATGCGCTAAGTTATAATCAATCTTTATCAGTGTGGATGGCCATACCGGTAAATTGCAGATCATCTGAAATGTTCCAAAAACATGAATCTACGATGCAGTGGCTTATTTCAAAATCATGAAACCACAGAAAGTATGCTTAAAAGGAAGAGGCCAATAAAAACAACCATACAAGATGATCGCAGAATGGTCACTCTCGCAAAGAGAGACCCCTTTAAGGGTTCCGTTCTGATCAAGAGCGAGATTTTTGGACCAGAACCGACTGTTGGAGTATCTGCGAGGACCGTCAGAAGGCGACTGGTGGAGGCAAAGCTTGTAAGAAGAGTTCCTCGAAAAGTTCCACTACTGAAGATGGAACACAAAGAAGCAAGATTGGCGTTTGCAAGAAAGTATGGACATTAGGCTTTTGCTCAATGGATTAATGTGCTGTTTTCTGATGAGATCAAGATAAATCTTATTTCATCCGATGACNTACTTAAGAAAAAGATTGAAAAACGATATACGTGCCTATAAAATTTGAGGTTTGCCCTCGATTTCCCTAGGATCCCATCATCAGATCCTGACTTGGTGACAATGGGACCACCTCAGAAGTGTACCCTATCGAACAAAAAAAGAATTTTGAAAATCGGTCCACAATTGACGAAGTAATCGGTGAACATACATAGAAAAAAAAAATACATACAGTCGAACATATAACCTCCTCCTTTTTTGAAGTCGGTTAAAAAGAATGAAAATTTTGTTTTTGTGATTGTAATTTTTTTCTGATAAGTATAATTAAGAATGTTTTTTTGTTAATCAGGACCTCTTTACACAAGATGGGGTGCTGCTCAAATCAGCCTCAAACCGGCTGAGCCCAGACTTGAATTCGCCCGGAATGCTCTGTATTGTCCAGAACGGAGATGGCACAAAATGTATTGAGTGGCGACCAAACGACTTGATCACTATCGACTCCGACACACAAGACCAGGAATGGGCAGTGGTTAACACTATTGGTGAGCAATACTTAGTAAATATTCCCATTTTCAATTAATTTTATGAATAATAGTCAAAATAATTAAATAATTTTTCTGCATAACCCAAAGGTAAACTGGATGAGAATGCCTTATGGCATTAAGTTCGCCTAATGTTAATATTTTTGGCATTGAAGTATAAATAAATAAATAAATAAAATGTTCTTGAAACAAATGTTGTAGATTTTCTTTATTAAATGAAAAAATAAAATCCTGGACTTACTTAACAGAGCCAAATTCCATTCAAGCCCTGGTAGCTATGTAGAAGCAGTAAATATGACCCAAACCTTAGGCAAAACAGAGAAAGTATTAGTCTTCAGAACATTTATTTTGCAATCAGGCCGTCGTCAACGCACACTCAGCGGGAACATGACGTCAGACTACGCCACAGCTCGCGCCCGCATCATCAAGATCCCTCTTCAGGACCTAAAAACGTTCCGGATAACCCGCAACAGCCAGCAGATGCAGTTCTCCACGAAACCTGGCGTTTGGCAGACCACATTCTACTTCCAACACGGGAACGCGGAAATATTCGTCGCCTATCTAAAGAACCACGTCAAAACGGCGAAGACGAGGCACGATAGAAACACATACGTCGTCGTTGAACCTAACATTGAATCGCAAGTTCTTAACAGGTCCTTCGCAGAGTTGGATATTTTTACGGAGAATACAACAGATGTGGTGTGGAATTTGGTGTCGAATTTCAAGCAGAGGCCCTATGAGACTACTATGGAAGCCTTTTCCAAGCTCACTGATATTGGTAAGTGTGCATTATAGGCTGTTTGAAATTTATATAAAAACTTCTATTATTTTTAGAGCTCACAAGCATAATAATATTTTTTGCATTTCTTGAAATATTTGAAATGGCGGGTTTGTGATAATTCGTGATTGTATATTAAACTAGCGGCTGCCCGCGACTTAGTTCGCGTGGATCCCATTTAACCCCCATAGGGATTGAATTTTGCAAATCCCGTCTTATTGAGCACCTACGTTCTAAAAGGAACCCCCATGCAAAATTTGAGACTCCTAGCACTTGTAGTTTCTGAGATTTCGGGATGAGCGAGTCCAGTCAATCAGTGACCTTTCGCTTTTATAGATATAGATTTTTTATAGCTATCTAATCAACCTAATCCAATTTTAGTTTATTACGGCAACGAAGGTATGAACGGCAAGAGGGACGTCTCTGAAGAAGTGGCCGAGTTGCTGACCAAGAGTATGAGCGCGCTGGAAGACGCCACCACCGTCACGCGAGCCGAGGAGTACGAGGTCGTCAGCGTCAAGCCCACGCTGCCGCCGCGGCCCTCTATACCTAGGTAACACTTTAGCAGAGGTTCCCTCTATACCTAGGTAACACTCCAGCAAGGTTCCTAAGTTAGCTGCCACACTGGCGGTTTGCAAGCGTTTTCAAAGAGAAGCGACGACGCCGCGTTTCCGCGGCGAACACGCCACGGCTGTGCGAACACGTCGCGGATTCTTAATGTCTCCGCCTCGAGTTTACGCCCCGTGTCCGCGACGTTTCCGCGGCGAACACGCCGCGACATTATTGCAAGCATTTTGGCGACCGCGGCGGAAGGGCCTTGCCACACTGGCGGATTGTAAGCGGAGCGGCGGCGCCCACCCAGTAAACGCTTGCAATCCGCTAGTGTGGTGTGGCAGGGCCCTTCCGCCGCGGTCGCCAAAATGCTTGCAAAAATGCGAGACGGAGTCGTCCTAAGGCCTCAGCCTCGAACTTAGCGGGGAGCGGCGGCGGCGCTGGAGCGGGGCGGGCAACGCAGACCCGTTCTCGAAACAAGCGGGCAGCTCGCGCGGCGCTTTAGCGGCGAAGTGTTGTGTTCGGGGTTGTGTTGTCGAGATATTTGTTTTTATTCGCAAACGAAATGTCTGAACAACGGCGACAATTTTATTTCGATTCAAATTTATTCCTAACGCTCGATTAATTGTGGGCAAAAGAAGGAGTGCGCTGCCCGCTCGTTGCCCGCTCCCTCGCCGCTGCCCGCTCGTTGCCCGCGCCGCTGTTTTCGAGAACCGGTCTATTTGATTTTACGCATAAGATCCTGCCGCTCCCGCGCCGCCGCCGCCGCCGCCCCGCTGCCCGCTAAGTTCGAGGCTGAGGCCTAAGAGCTGCTGGTAGCTCACAAGAGTATGAACGCCCTATAGAACGCCACTATTGTCACGATACAGATTTTCCCATCTTCAACAGTGCTTACAGAATAAGAAAACTACCACACTCAAATTTATTTGTAAAAGAAATATCCCATCTTCTAACTCATTATCTCACTAAATTATCATTCTTGTTAATCAAAAATTAAAAACTCTACGGGGTGTCAAGAGTTCAACAAATCTCGTCCCCGTTAATCCGGGAGGGTTAAACTTTTCTTTCTTAAAAAAAAATGGGGGTTTATATTGTGGTGTTCGTTTGCAGAGGCGCTCCACTGTCGACTGAGAAGTGGGAGGGACTCCAGGACACAGAGGGCCGCGTCACGGAGGTGGAGGGCGTCAAACAGTTGATATTCCGAGGCGTGAGTGTTTATATTTCTTTATTTATTTTATTTATTTATTAAAGACGCAAAACAAATTGTATAGCACGTAAGCTTATGGATTAAATTGTAACCTAACAACATGCATCCTATAAAGTATAAGTTAATGATGAATGTTACAACAAAACTTCAAAAAATCAGTTTATATTTTACGATACTTCCTTTTAAAGTTTCCAATAACTAATGACTTGTTATCGTATTTCCTAGATATTATTCGAAGTCCTATTATCTTCTGATTGAATTCGCTGCTGGCTCTAAGACAGTTAGATATCCCCCAGGATTAATCAACCTTCATTGGTTGGGTTGAAAGCCGGGTATAGCCTACCCGGTAGATCCCTGGTATACAAGAATTGCAGTGACGGGATAAGTCCCGTTTAAAAGTTGTAACACTGAATACTAAAATCTCTTGAGGTATGGGAGCGGCACAGGAGGATGATTTTGTGACGGTCAAACGTCAGCGAGACTTCAAATTTGTATGCCCTGTTAAATTATAATGTCAATGTCACCCCTCCCGTGCCGCTTCCATACCTCAGGAACTGAGTTAAGGGCTGGATCAGCATCAGTTATTTATTTATTTTATTTTATTTTATTTTATTTGTTTAACAACTGTCTACCCGCAGGGCGTCGCGCACACAATCAGACAATCAGTTTGGAAATACCTCCTCGATTACTACCCCTGGAGAATGACACACTCTGAACTCCGCTCTCTACAGAAGAAGAAGACAGAAGAATACTTCTCCATGAAGCTGCAATGGCGATCCATGACCGAAGGGCAGGAGGCCCGGTTTTCAGAATACAGGGACAGAAAAAGTCTGGTGGAAAAGGATGTTAACAGAACAGACAGAACCCACCCGTTCTTTGCGGGAGATAATAACCCAAACTTGGTGGTCCTCCAGGATATACTCATGACGTATGTTATGTACAACTTTGACCTGGGCTATGTGCAAGGAATGAGTGACATATTGGCACCATTGTTGTTGTTGATGGGCAATGAAGTGGACAGCTTTTGGTGTTTCGTCGGGTTCATGGACAAAATTGTAAGTAGATCCCAGATGATAACTTTATCGTAGTAGGTACACACGGCCACACTGTTAACTATCCATTTCCGTTTTTGCTTTCGCTCTAATCAAATGGCGATTCTTTGCGATAGAACGAGATGACATGACTGGCAATGGGCAGTTAACACTGTTTATTTATTTATTTATTTATTTATTTATTGCACATAATGGATACACTGTATATTGTTAGGTACTAGGTACTAACATACAAATGCACACCCGGTTGGGCACAGCAATACAAAATAACAGTTATTAAATATTATTAACAATAATTAAATTTATAAATCTTATACGTCTACCTACTTATAACTTTTATAGGTAATATATAATACAATTTGCAAGTACCTAACTTAAAATATTATAATGTTAGACATTACAGTTAAAACAATATTTACTTATTTATCAACTTAACATAAAATACTATGTTTTTCTTCTTCGTTATTATGTTTTTCTTTCTTCTATGTTGCCGATGGTACATTAATTTTACAATTTCTGTATTCATGTTGTTATTAGGTGAGTTTAACTTAATTTTAGCTAGATTTACAGTAAGTATGACTAATCAAGCGCCTCATATTAATAGGCAGTAGCCCAAAGTTTTTAATCAAATGTGATTTACAGTAAGTATGACACGAATCAATTGCCTCATATTAATGGGCAGTAGCCCAAAGTTTTTAATCAAATGTGTAGCCTGTGTCATAAAATGAATCGATGGGAAAATCACGTTTTGGTAGATCAAAAAGTATGTCCAAAGCTGGGTCCACACCGGAATTGCGCGCCGTCCACGTAGGATCTTACGCCTAGTTTCTTGCGTACGATAGGAGCTCGGCGACTGGTGGTGTCAAATATCCTGTACCCTATAGTCAGGGTAAAATCACAAAATACATAGTAACAGAAGACCTGTATGTACTTTATTTTGAATACCCAGACGCGTCTCTATTCTATAGTAAAATGTGCAAAGGGTATCTATCAATCTAAAGTTCCCGTATCCTCAGGAGTCGAACTTCGACATGGACCAGGCCGCCATGAAGTAGCAACGGGCTCGCGAAAGTAAGGCTGCAGCAACTTCTTAACTGCTGCAGCCTTACTTTCGCGAGCCCGTCGCTGTCGGATCTGTGTGCCTACCATGAGTTTACGTTAGGTGAGCTCGCTAGCGAATACGTCAAAAAATTATATGAAGATTTTATTTCTTGAAAGTAGCCGCTAGGGGCGCTGAACAATATGTCATACATTTAAATGTCATTTTTTTACGCAGTCGCTAGCGAGCACACCTAACGTAAACTCATGGTAGGCACACAGATCCGACACCGCCACTATCGAACTGTTGTCGCTTCCATAGAGATCTAGAGAGATGCCAACTAATGCGCTGAGTTTCAGTGTCGCATTAGAAGTTCACACACACAAAGTAATCAAAATATGTGTTCATTATCCACTGCGGTATCAGTACTCAATGTTCGAATAATCTTTAGTACTACGTAAGCAATGTAAGCTGTTTACATTATGACGTCGCTGCTGTCATCATTGTTTTCACGAGCAATGTGTTCTGTTTTTGGGCATATTGCTGCGACATCGGCCACGCCCCCTTGTCACATCTCCCTTTAGTTTCTGTGATCTGTGGTCGCTTCATTTGATTTTGAACCGTATATTAACCTCCCCAGGAGTCGAACTTCGACATGGACCAGGCCGGCATGAAGCAGCAGCTGCAGCAGCTGCAAGCGCTGCTGTCGTTCGCGAGCCCGGCGCTGGCCCAGCACCTCGCGCAGAAAGACTCCGCTAACATGTACTTCTGCTTCCGCTGGCTGCTCGTCTGGTTCAAGCGGGAGTTCTCGCATGGAGACATTATGAGGTGAGATGGAGTTATAGTGTTCAGTTTCCCATTTACAGGCAGGCATCAAGCTGCAGCTGCAAGCGCTGCTGTTGTTCTTGTACTACAGAAAGACTCCGCCAACATGTAATTCTGCTTCCGCTGGCTGCTCGTCTGGTTCAAGCGGAAGTTCTCGCACGGAGACATCATGAGGTGAGCACATTGACGCGAAGCAAGCTAAAAGACGAATGGAAACGCTCAGCATGGACGAGGAACGTGCGTGCTAAAGGTTCGGCCAAACGGCCAAACAAACATAACGTGTACTAGCTGTACAGCTCTGCATTTAGTAGAGAAATGAGCGCGAACGATTCAACCCACCCGCCGCCGTCTACTCAAATGATTCGTCACGTGCTGAAGACCTAGCTCCGCCATCTAGCTACGATCCGTACTCCGTTTTCCCGTTCCACTTGCGCGCTTCACATTTATAGCCTGACCAGGAACATAAAAACCCTCGCCATGTTGCGGAAAACTAATGGTACTAATTTCTTTTAATGGCAACAGTAACTGAAAACTTCATTGACATGTCACCTTGCATGTCAGTCTATTGTTGTCAAAGTGTAAACAAACTTTATTTTAAATGTGTGCAATTGATTTTGTGAATTAAATTGCTAAAATATTTTTATAGTCGTGAAAGAAAAGTGGTTCACAATGTGTTAATGTATTTGTCGAAGAGAAATACTAAGGGTTCGGACAATATTTTCATTGAATAATGTTTCCGACAAAGGTTGTCAAATTGACTGACATGTTTATCGTATAGTACAGTCCACCATGAAAATTAGCTGTAGTCTGTTTCAACTACCTATTTTAAAGTTTTTTGTCACTTTCTAAGTTTTGAATTTTATGGAATTGGGAAAGAAGTACCGAGTTTGAAGCGTTCATGAGCAGACATTGCAGTTGAATATTCAAGTTCTGAATTTGATTATTGATGAATAATAAAAAAATCCTACTAGCTCGATTGATGGTTTCGTTTAATTTATTTAAACCAGGTTACCTATAATAATATTTTTTCGTTAATTTATGAAAAAATCAAATTAGCCCGTAATCCTGAATCCTGATAAATAAAGTTAGCCTATTAATTTAACACAGGTACGACTGTACTCAGTGTTGCACTATCAAATGCAATTGACGCGCCTCTATGCCAGGGTTTTTATGTTCCTGGTCAGGCTATAAAAGTATAATTTTTTAAGCAACTTTGCAAAACCCTGGTCTTTGCAGTGGAGCGGAGATTTTAAGCTCTCCTATTAGGCAATATAGCTAGCGACCAATCCTATTCTCTCCGCTCCACTGGTCAGGCAGTTCGTTTTTCGTTTCATACACAACTGCCATTTCTTGTAAATATTAATTGGATGGGTGTTTTTTTCTAATCCTGTGTAGGCCATTTTCAGGATACTCATACAGATTTTTTTATTTTTTCCAGGCTATGGGAGGTGCTTTGGACCGGGTTGCCATGTAGCAATTTCCATTTACTAGTTTGTGTTGCCATACTCGACGCCGAAAAGGACATTATCATGGGCAAAGACTACGGTTTTACGGAAATTTTGAAGGTAAGTTTATTTTTTATGAATATATTTCTTTCCTATATGTAAAAAAGTAGCATGAATAAATGGGTTTTCACAAAATCTATCCACGAATTAAACAGCTATAGTCTGGTCTGTGAGCACATAGAATATGTAAAAAAGTAGCATGAATAAATCGGTTTTCACAAAATCTATCCACGAATTAAACAGCTATAGTCTGGTCTGTGAGCACGTAGAAATTGTCCAATGACCCCAAGCTACCCATCCTTATCGCTCGCGCGTAATTATATTGCTGTCGCGACTGTGCGACGGGCGCCCACAGTGAGTGTGCGATTAGTCAATATTGCTGTAATATTTGAATATGTACTTGAATTCTTACTTTCTTTTTCCAGCACGTCAACGACCTATCAATGTGTCTCGACGTAGACAGAATACTGAGCACAGCAGAAGGCATATACCACCAAGTGGTGTCCGCGCCACACCTCACCGACCAAATCCGAGTCATCATCGGCCTAGCCCCCCTCAAGCTTGCCGCTTCCACCAGCTCGGAAGAAGCGACCACATCGAAATCGGCCCAGCAAGCCAACGGTACGGGTGACTGCACCGCGGAGAGAGATATGGAGGAAGTTATGTATCAAATAGGCTTAGATATGAATTTCTGAGGCACGGTGATTATTGTTGACTTGATAATGTAGTTTGTGCTAACAGCTATACCAGATAAATTATGTGGCATGTAATGCATATGGGTAAATACAGGGTGTTAGGTAAATGGGTATATGAGCCGACACTAGCCCATGTTAACATGGGCATATAAATGGTATGGTGAAGTCAGAAAATTTATTTTCATTTTAATTATTTTAATTTTCATACAAATCGGATTTTATAAAAATTTATTTGGTATGAAAATGAAAAAGAATAAAATGATGATATCAAATTTCTGACTTCACCATACCATTTATATGCCTATGTTAACATGGGCTAGTGTCGGCTTATATACCCATTTACCTAACACCCTGTATAATTGTGTGCCATAGCGCATGTTAAGTGTGAATCTTGATTAAATGACGCATCATATTAATCACACATTTTGAAATTATTTCTAGTAATTATAGCCCGACCAGGAACATAAAAACCCTCGCCATGTTGCGGAAAACTAATGGTACTAATTTCTTTTAATGGCAACAGTAACTGAAAACTTCATTGACATGTCACCTTGCATGTCAGTCTATTGCTGTCAAAGTGTAAACAAACTTTATTTTAAATATGCGCAATTGATTTTGTGAATTATATTGCTAAAATCTTTTTATAGTCGTGAAAGAAAAGTGGTTCACAATGTGTTAAAGTATTTGTCGAAGAGAAATACTAAAGGTTCGGACAGTATTTTCATTGAATAATGTTTTCGACAAAGGTTGTCAGTTTACTGACATGTTTATCGTATAGTACAGTCCACTATGAAAATTAGCTGTGGTTTGTTTCAACTACCTATTTGAAAGTTTTTGTTTTCTAAGTGTTGAATTATAATGAATTGGGAAAGAAGTACCGAGTTTGAAGCGTTCATGAGCAGACATTGCAGTTGAATATTCAAGTTCTGAATTTGATTATTAATGAATAATAAAATACATCCTACTAGCTCGATTGATGGTTTCATTTAATTTATTTAAACCAGGTTACCTATAATAATATTTTTTCGTTAATTTATGAAAATATCAAATTAGCCCGTAATCCTGAATCCTGATACATAAAGTTAGCCTATTAATTTAACAAAGGTACGACTGTACTCAGTGTTGCACTATCAAATGCAATTGACGCGCCTCTATGCCAGGGTTTTTATGTTCCTGGTCAGGCTATAGTTTAAATATCCTGGCAACACTTTCTTTTTTCGACGGTCCGTAGTTCACGTTGCAGACACCTGAGGTCGCTGATTCGATACCCGCACAACAAACATTTGTTAGCATTATTTTATGTTAACATTTAAAAAGTAGCATTAGTTAGTACATTTTGTATTTCCTACCATGGTATGAACTAATATTTATTTTTGAGTGTTCCACGTATCATGTAGATTAAGAAAAAGTAAGTAAGTTTGTTTATTCATTATCTGTTCACCATAGTACAAAGTTTGCTTAGATGTTAATAAGTTTGAACTGCATAATTTGGGCATTGTTATGGTTAGAAAGCATTATCTATGTGTTAAAGTAATTTAAAGACATTTTTGCCTATTGAGTTACATATCACATAATTTAAAAGCCTCTATTAGAGTAGAAAGCACATATCTGCATGCCTATAATGCATCTTCATCGAACATACTGTAGGATTGTATAAATTCGTGATTATTTGAGATTTTTCTCTCATTTTATTTATACAAAAATTTGGAAAGGGCGACAAGTTTCAACCGTGTATCCATAAGGCAACATGTAGCAAGACATTTTGCTTATCATATAGGACATTACAGGATATGGATGAACTTTCAACAACCTCGTGTACTGACTAAAGCACTGCGGTACTTTATTCACTTGTAACAGATGCTATTTTGCAGCAAATATGTTTAGAGTGGCGCACACAGTTGATTTTTCGTCGGCCGATAGTTTAGTCGAGCAGTTGATCAGTATGGGCATGTCTGGGAGTGCGCACACTACGCCGATTCGATTTGGCCGATTCTTCATACAATTTAAAATCGGGCACAACTATCGGCCAACTAAAAATCAACGGTGTGCGCCTACTCTTAGTGTGATGTACTGTGCCTGTACAGTCAACGTCAGATATTTCGTGACAGTCAAAGTAGCCAATAAGTTCGCAACACGTCTTTGTTACAATTGGAATAAGGTTGTGCTGACAACTTTTTGGCCACTTTGGGTGTCACAGGCTATTTGACGCTGTAAAAAAAACTGCCAACAGTCATATCAAATCATACAGCTTTGCCAAATAGGATCACGTGGTCGCGTCAGTTGCCTAGTGGATACACATTTACCTTCTAGCTAGTGTAAAAACTAGTTAATTTGCTTCTCACATGCACAACATACTAACAATTATATCGCTCCATCCAGTATCACACGTATCCAGTTATTCTTCGCACTTCAAATCCCATCATTAATTTTCTTTATTTAGCCCCTATTCTGCTAATTTTATTTGATCGAATTCATCAAGATAATTCAAGTGTAGTTGCATAAAAACTCGCGGAAATGGAAATGGCATTTTTGAATGAAAAGCTAAGCATTTTGAAAGTAAGCATTTAAATATTAAGACCTTGTTAATATTTTTGACTTGACGACTTCAAGAAGTAAAATGCCGTAGGTATCTAATGTATTATTTGAGTTCAAAAGCACAAGTGTACAAAAGGCGGACTTGCCAAATGAGAAGAAAATGAGGCATTGCTTGCCAGTCGACAATTATAAATAGGTGATTTGTTGATATTTTAAAGCTTTTTGTATGGCTTTCTTCTTATTTATATGATAGCACGAAACATTAATATGTAGGGTAGTTGTAATAGTAATAAGCATTACATAAAATAATGAAAGTAAGCCTTGTTGCATAATAATGAGAACTATTTTTCTTACTTAAATACATAGTCTACTTATCAAAAGCAATTATTTTATATAAATTAACTCATAAATAAACAATTTATTCATTCTCACATTGTAAATAAAATATCAAACGTAGGTGTAATATTTTATCGTTATTAAAAAAACTTTTTTCTATTTCAGGATACACTCGAATATGACGGATTACAAATTAATATTGTTACGAAAACTGTGTGGGCATTGCTCGCTTAGTCGACGAATACAAAGTAGCTACTTACAGCCCGACAAGGATCTGGATGAGCGTGGCGGGAATCGGAACTACAAAAGTTATTCTAATTTTTGACAGATTAGTTTGGAAGTGGCGCCGCCGCGCTGCGTTTGCCAGGATCGTGGTCGGACTGTAAAATGGAAGTTATATTTTTATACTTTTATAATATCCGCTGTATGAACATGCTTGCCTCCTATTTGATACATTCATCATATTATGGTACCTAACCATTTTCGAAACTAATATAAAATACACTACCCACCGATTCATTCATTGCCTGTGCCTTAATTTTGCCGCGAATTTTTTCTAATTCTCTTTTAAATATTTTTATATCCACATTTGGTTTATTTCTCTATAGGTTTTATAATATACAAACATACATTTCAATAAATCATTGTCAATTCATAATGTACCAAGGTGCTAACTACACAGTTTACAATCTCAAATAGGAGAATCAATATTAATACTAAAACCTTTGTTAGATCGACATAATTCACATAACAATTCCAATATTATATTACCCGTGTCTCTATTAGTATTTTATGTGCAATTTAAAATGCGTTATAACATAGTTTTCATAATTTTAGAAGTTTCAAATTGATATTAATGTGATTTTAGTAGGTATTATTCACAATTTCGATTTTCCAGTAATTATTGACACAACTGCAACTGTAATAGAAGTGGCCAAATATTATTATTTATTGTATCCTGTAACAATTTATGCATAAAATAATAAGTTTCAATAGTTATGCCAGCTTATCAATCTATGAAGAAATTCTCAATTGATTTTGAGTAATAAGGTAGGCCGCCACCAACCGGCCATTCTGGAAATCATTGGGGAAGGCCTATGTTCAGCAGTGGACGTCCTATGGCAAAAATGATGAATAAGCTAATGATATAAAAATAGCAAAATCTATTGCAGAAATTCGTCTCTTGAAAGTTGGCCTGCTGTTGTCGGTAATGAGATGATACAGTTTGTAATATCATTCAAAATATAGGTTCGTTTATTTGATTGACCTTTATGGTTTTTTAAGCCATCCCAAAAATTGGTTGTATAATGTTTTATTGATAAAATTGGAAAAGACTTCTTGTGATACACTTGGCTTTAGCATTGGAGGTGGATTTTGTAAGAAAAATTGAAATTTGTTTAGTTAAAAGAACCAGGAAAATTTAGTTTAATTTAATTTAAATTATAAATAATGTTTAATAATAACAGTTTCGCTTTCGTTTCGAAAAAGCTGTGCAATTCGATATGTTCGAAAAAAATAATTAATATAAAAGGTGTGAAGTTCTCGGCTGACAAGCTTGAGGTGCAGGGTCCAAATAAGAAGGCCAGGGTGTAGCAAAAAGTGTAATTTTACTTCGCAGTACCAGCGTATTATACAAAAATAGGTGCGTGCGTGCTCCGTCCGTCAACCAATTCCAATCAGGACGTTGGAGACAGACGCGGAGTCGTGGGGCAAATATTCGTAATGCGCCTTCGGAAGTCCCAATCTGCGATTCCCCTAAAGAACGTCACAGTCAGATGCAACCTCAGGTTATTACTTTACTTGCTACTTTCTTCTTACTTACAATATTCAACATAATCGTCGGAAGGTCTTTAAGGGAAAAAAAATCTGGACACCGCGGTGTAGAAATCGACTCTCAATGTGCTAGTGTCATCCAGCGGCGAGTGGCGTAAACACTTCCTAAACTGGATACATCTTGCAATAAGCACGGTGATCCGCGGAGGCTTGGTAATGCAGGCGAACACCACGAGATGGCGCTAGTAGTATTGATTGATAAATGCGATATTGTTACATTAATCAAATTTTTGCACAGCTAAATTAATCATAGGCCATAACAATTTGAATTGCACATTTATTATCACTTGTGATCATTGATTTCCTAAGTAGCTGTTATGTTTGTAAGATTTAACTACTTTAATTAAACTAGTGTCTATTCATTAAATGTATGTTTTCGTTTATTAAATTGTATTAAAGTTTCGTACCTGGTTTATTTGTGTTTTAATGGTGTAAGTTGGTGTCCTTCAATATTACTTTTTGTAAATGAAGAGAAATTTTGTTATGTTGTAAAATATTTACTTGATTCTCACTCATATTTTTCATAACAAATTAAACAATGTTAAACAATTTATTAATTAAAATACAAATACAAATTATTAATGTTTAACAATGTTGGTAGACCTAATAAATAAATAAATAAACTGAGAATTATTATGTATACGAAATGCGAATGAGCCCCTGTACTATAACTACGAAGGAGGCAAATGAAACAGAATAGGTGCCATTGACCACTGGGGAAAAGGGGACAGATGGGAATAAAGGAACAATTAAAATTGGATATTTTATGTTACACCACTCTCTACAGATTGGTTAATATTGAAACAAAGTAATGTTTGATAATATTGTATACTTATTTATTTGGTAAAATCAAATAAACAGGATGTTAGGTAAATGGGTATATGAGCCGACACTAGCCCATGTTAACATGGTCATATAAATGGTATGGTGAAGTCAGAAATTTAATATCATTTTAATTTTTTAAATTTTCATACAAAATAAATTTTATAAAATCCGATTTGTATGAAAATTAAAATAATTAAAATGAAGATATCAATTTTCTGACTTCACCATACCATTTATATGACCATGTTAACATGGGCTAGTGTCGGCTCATATACCCATTTACCTAACACCCTGTATTATGATACATTATTGCTTTGTTACATAACACTGGCCTACAGCCATTTTGGTGCCGGGGATTTAAGACCTGATTTTAAGTATGTCTTACATGGCGATATCGAAAATGTAATCAGTTTTTCTCTATCAGCTCTAGTTCCCGAGATAAGTGAAAAACAATTTTCACAATAAATATTTATTTTTATTAGCATTAAACATCAAGAAATTGTCTTTTGAGTGATTTTTTCGAATGAAACTTACTTGGGCAATCTCGCATGATTCCCCAACAGTAGTCGACCATCATTTAAGTGTCCCATCTTCCTTGGTATCTACTCTCCATTGTTTTTATATCTTGGTGAAAACGTTTTCCTTGTTCTTCGCTTAGTTCTCCTAAATTTTGTTGGAGTGGATCTGGGTTACTGTTGAGATAGTTTAATTTTATACCCATATAACAGCTTAAATCTTTGAATTGAACTAGCACATCCTATACTACTCTACATAGTTTTCAGCCTTATGCTTTCCGAGGAAATTTTGTAGAACTGGTACAAAAGATATCCACGCAAGCCGTTCCACATAATTCATAGAAATCTCAAATTTAGTGGTGTCTTTTATTAATAGACTTATTTGAAGTCCATCAAAACTACCTTCTTTTAGTTTTTCAGTACTTAAACCACGAAAATTCTGTGAAATTAACTGCAAAAATTGACTATTTTTGCCATATCATACGCACTCCAAGCTTCAAAAACTTACGTGTGCCTTTCTCCCATCGTCGCAGATGTTCAACGCATATTTTACATACAATATGAAGCAGCTACACTTAATTTTTGTGCCGAATTTCGATACCAAAGTGAGCAAAATACAAACGATTTTCCGTGTTTTTAATGGTTTGACGCTGATCTTTCAATAGTATTCACCACAAACTTATCAAAATTAATCAGGATCGTTAACACAACATCTGGACGTACTAGCCATATTAAAATAGTAACATAAAGTTTATCGATATTAATGTAATAATGACTATTTGCTAACAAGGCGGGAAAAAAATTAAAATGAGGGTAGTCGACAAACTAGAGCTGATGAGTTTAAATGAAGTATGTGAATATATTGTCCATTACCCATTTCATCGACCGCATAAACAAAAAGAGCTGCACCAAAAAAAAATTTTTTTTTTGCAGGCCTGTGTAATTTATTGCATTGCACTTATACATATAATACATACAAACAAAAACTTCAAATGAGATCATTAAATAAATTTTGTACTATCCAATAGTTATTGCCAACAACATTATCAACAAAATTTTTGATAATGTTACAAATTCATGACATTCATGGACATCTGTGAATGGGATTTAAGGTGTACATTTAAACCGTAACGTGTCTGGTATGACTTGTCACATAAATGGCAATGGAAGTTTTTGACCCCAGTGTGTGTTAAAGAGTGACGTTGCAATTCTGATTTTGAGAAGAACCGTTTGCCACAACTGTCACAACCATACTTCTTTTCTTTCAAGTGATTCTTACGTATATGAGAGCTTCGTGAGCTAGACGATATAAATGTTGCATTACACACTTCACATTTATGATTTCTTGTTCTCTTGTGATTCCAAAGTATGTGAGAATGAAGGCCTCCAGGCACTTTGAACCTCTTTGGGCAGTATTTACAGCTGTATGGACGATCATTGCTATGTGTAAGCATGTGTATTCTTATGTATCCTGGAGGATATGACTTGCCACATTGATCACATTGACGCAATATTCTCTCAGATCTATTCTTATCTTTATTGTCAACATTTGGCTGGCAAGAGTGGCAGTTTAGATCATTAACATCATAGAAGCCTTCCCAGCAGTTTTCACATAAATAAGGTTTTAAATGCAGCTTTCTGTGTCGAGCTAAAGACCGAAAGTCTTCAAACTTTTCATTGCAGTATTCACAGTCTCTTCCAACATCGGACTTTACAGGATGATTACTAGTGCAGTGTTCAGTAAGGGCCTTAATTGACGTAAATTCAGTTTTACATTCTACACAGAAAACAACGATCATTTCATTCTCAACAGGTGGTGGGGGAGGCAATTTTTTGTGTTTCTTCTTCTTTTCTTTGTAGCTTCTTGATTTCAGGTCCTGTTTGAGTTCGTCAGATTCATAGTTATATTCGCAATCATTGTCGCTGGTTGCTTCCAGCTGTTGTGAAGCATCGGCTAATGTTTTAGCACTGGCTTCAATAAGTGCTTTGAACGAGTATGTTATTGTAAGCTGGTGAACACAGTTGATGCAGATATTTTCTGGATAAGGGTCTTCAGATGATATCTGAAATGTTGAAGATAAAGTATGAGTTATTGCAATATCTGGTACAAAAAAGTCAAGGATCAATTTTATTCTTTCAGATAATAAAAGATGGTAACATTGATAGATGGAATAATCACTGCCAATAAATGAATAAGAATTAACATTATAAATAAAGTTACTAAATAAAGTATAGTAACCACTAACCACAAAGTGCAAACACTATGTTGTTGTACTGATACAAGTTGCTATAAATAACTGTGAAACCGTGGATTAGTTGTTCTGATTAAATATAATTGTTTTTTTGTAAGGAAATAATAAAACATACTTACCTTATAGTTGTAAAAGTTCTCTAAAATATCGGACAGTCTTACTTCGTCCCCGGTTATATTTACAAAGGCGTGTACATGTCTCATTTCCTTCTCCCTGCCCAAACATGTTCTGCATTGGTTTTTGAAACTCATTTCTATATAATTCACTACTTAATTATAGTTTTTATTTACAAATAGCAAAAATAAGCCCACCCAAATCGATAGCAGACCAAACGTCAACAAACAAATTGATTGGTGTCAAAAGTGTCAAAACTGGTCAAAACTGTCAAAAAAGTGAGTGATGTGTGAAAAAAAAATTCAAGAACGGTGTCACCAGTCAGACAGAAAATAACAGGTATAAATACTACATTATTTTCAAGATGTTAATGAATGTTTTGTTAATCATTGATCCAAAAACCAGTCAATAATATTATTTCGATAAAACTTGTAATTTTAAACTGAAAGTTCAATCACAGAGTCAAAATAGCAATTAACAATAATAACTAGACATCTGTGTATTGTAATCGTAGCTTTTATATCAGGTGGAATACCTCTTGCCTACCTATTTTCGTCTTCTGAGTCATTAACCGACACACACCTAAATTTCGGGTGAGTTGGCTAAGTATTTCTAAGCATTCTAAGGCTGAGTTGCACCACCTAACTTTGACAGTAACTACAACGATAACCGGTGTATTTTGTATGGTTTCACAGATTTTTGACGTTTGTCAAAGTTAAAGTAAGATGGTGCTGCTGCAACCCAGCATAAGGGTTTTTGTTAGTTTGAGTCTGTGGTTTGAGTAATGTAACATTTATTTGTTTTATTTTTTATCTAAGTTATTGAAATTATTTATCAGTAAGTACTAGTAAGCAGGCCCTTTTCAGGGCGTTATTATTATAGTCACCACGTCAACTCACGTCCCAAATATAGGTTCGCCTGCTACCACTAGATACTAGACTATTACATTACATAACTTCTACAACATCACTAGTTGTAGTCGCACACTGTCACATTGGGGGCGTTTGGCCAAAAATAGCGCTTGTTAGAAATTGTTTGCAAAATGGCGATCGCCATGGCAACCACCGAAAACATTAGCATTTTTTCGACAAGGACACGTTTGTTAACATCAAAAGTAATGTTTTTTTCCATAGATTTTTTTAGCAATGATAGCAACTTACCGCTAAAAGGACGCCGTTTTTCTTACTAGTGCTAGCTAGCTATTTTCGGTCAAACGCCCCCATTTTTGGACCGCAGTCGCTGGACTTGTCAGTTTGACATTTATCAAGAAAAATGTTTTGTCCACCAGCTGAAGAGGAATCTCAAAATCAAAATAATCACAGAGCTTCTCACAAAAGTAATCGAAAACGAAAAAAGAAGCCTGCCCGCAAAAATCTGCAGCAAGGATTTGGCAGGATCAAGAAAAAGCATTCCAAGCTAGCGCTAACCATGTCATCGTGGGCTGAGAATTTTACGTTTGCTGCGACTTGGCAGCTGAAGCACCAATTGGCTTATTGGAAAGCGCGTGCGAAGGCTTTGGAGTACGAGAATGGCGTTCTTCATGATATAATTCGTAAGAAAAACTACGTGGGTCCTTCCACAGCGTCGAATACTGTAACGGAATCTGATAGTATGCATGTGGAAACAGAGTCTGGAGACGACGAAGAATACGAAGAGAGCGGCGATGAAAATTTAGAAGTCAGTGAAGAGTTTATAGAGTTTCTGCAAGCGAATGCCAAGTTCAAAGAAGATGCTAGACTTGAAAGAGAGAGATTAAGAGAACAAAGCCAAAAAGAGGAACAACAACAAATTGCTCAATTGGAGGCAGGGCCTCCAGAAGCTCAAGAAAATAGAGAGGAGGTGCTTAAAGAATTGTACGGTGACGATTGGGAGAGAATAGCTGCTTTAGAAATGAGTTTACAGACTCAGTTTATCGAAGAAAGTGATAATAGTAAGCCGGATTACTGGCCTAATATACCATTTAACTTTAATTTTGGTTAAAACAATGAAATGCTTGGTAGTTTTTAATTAATTTTATTAAATAAGTGTCTAATGTATAAAGCCTACAACAAACAATGTTTTTGGTCTCCTAAATATGTGAGGTTTCCCATAGTTTGCTATTTGAAGAATTAATTAAATGGGACTTTTTACTATAATTTCTACAATGAATTTCTATTTTTGTAACAACTTCATATAAAGTACAAATAAACATCAACTTTTTATTGAAACATTGTGTTTTTTTGGATTCCGTTGAAAAGTTTTTTGTAATCGTCGGTCAGTCTGATGGCTGTAAGGAGTTGATAAATATTTACATTATTTACTCAATAATATAAAACTAGTTATTCAAGTCATAAATACTAATATGAAAATTAAAATCTTCATCAACTGTATCATTCAAGCAATGAATGTCCCATCAAATTGTGCTCACCACCAGTAGGCTCCCCTGATGAGTGATAGGACCTTAATATCAACAGTGGAGTTCACTGCTAAAAGGAAATTTCATTGTATTGTATTTTACATTAGTGTTAGTCCATTGTTTTATTAGAATTATTACTTTTATCAATGAAAAAAACATTTTTTTTGAATCAAGGAAATAAACTTTTTGTAATCTTTAAAACAATGTTTCTATTTTAATGAATTTTAATAGTAAGATAGAGTGTTCTATGTTGAAAATATTTTTTTAAATATACCTAATTAACTAGCTTCGCACAGGTACAATGTATTATATTTTTAAAAATATTCCTCTTGAATCACTATGTATTAAAAAAAACCACATGGAAATCCGTTGCGTACCTAGTTTTAAAGATCTAAGCATACACAAGGACGGACAGACAATAAAGCTTTATTTTTATGTAGTGATTTTATACCAACAATAGCAGAACTTTTCGAGAAAAAAACGTAAAAAAGTATTGTCTATGGCATAGATTTGATTTGATTGAAGTCAATAAAAAATTGTTGACAGCTGTTTAGTCTCGGATTTCTTAGATTTTGTCTCAATTCATTCTTTGAACATGAACTAGAATTTAAAAATGTTAATGGGACAACCACGACATATTATTTAAACATTGCAACAACAAACATCACTATAAAAAAAATTAGCACTAACAATATAAAAGTGACAACTGACAATTTGAGGGTAGTCGAAGATTTTCAAGCCCGCCCGAAAGATGACCGCGAACCATCAGCACAAAATAAGTTAGTATACATACAGCCATCAGTGTGTACGTGACCACGGCTGGTGACGGCTGTATTAATACGCCGAAACGTCAAGCTTTAAGTAATTTATTTTAGGACCATTTAGGACATAATAAATGCCGCGTTTGAAGTTTGAATCTCGGTGTTCTGTGTTGAATTACATAATGGAAAAGAAAAATTACTTCAGAAGAAAAAAAGAAAGAAGAAAACTATTGTGAGCGAGGTTTTTTCCACATCGAGAATATTCTAAGGTACGTACCTTCCTATACTTGATAAATATTTTATTCAGTTTTGACCAATATTTAGGCATGTGCTATGCTTAAAGCCGGGGGTCTCCAACGTGTTTTGTCCTACACAATCATCAAAAATACGTCAACATTCAAAATTTTTTGTAGGCAATTTTGTTGAATGTTGGCATGTTTTTGTTGATTGCACAATCAAAATCGATCACAATCAATCGACACACAACTTTAATCGATTGCGAGCAAGTTATAGAATCAGAAGTGTCGTCGACAAACGAACTTCGTTTTATGATAACGCGCACGTTCGCGATTTAAACAATTTTCACTCTTACGGCTTTAACATGCAAGTCTCTGATTTAAGTCTAATACCTAACTCAATATTTACCTACGTATCTTGTATTTTCAAATTCAATTTGTTGAAAACAAGCATCGATTATATCAAATCTAATAAATAAATAACTTCTGTAACTATCATTAACGCTAAAATAAGGAGAAAAGTGAAATAAGTTTAAAACAAGGCACATTAAAATCAGAACTTACGAACATATTTTGCATAAATCAACTAAATCTAGTCAATTGCTAATGTAATCCGAATTAAACCTACATTGTGAATGAGTATAACACTTACTTTAACATAAGCTTTCTTTGTAGCTTGTAAATAAATTACCCATACGCGTAAAAGCAAGAAGCTCAGTAAAAAGCTCGAAGAAGGTTCGACGCAGCGGCGTCCGCGCATAATTAAAGTTATCAGTCGTCATTTATTTACATATTTTATGTAACATTTTGAGCCGCTAAGTGCGCAGTGACACTTCGCTGTGAGATTTTAAATCCTACACTACTGTATAAATGAATACTTGATGTTCAGAGTTACGTAAAAGTTCGTAGATTCACATTCCAGTTACATATGGAATGGTACGTTTGATTCTGGCATTGTAAAGACATATCAATTCTGTAAAGTGCATGTCGAGAAGATAGCAGCTTAAAAGACAGATGCTAGACAAAATATGCAGATTCAAAATACGAGTAGGTTATTTATAATATTTGTTCTAAATATTTATTTATTTAGACACACACACACACATTTACTATTTTCACAGGTAGAACGGATGTTACAAAAACACCGGCTAAGTTTGAATCTGTTAATCCCTTAGTGACGAAATAGGTTTTAATTTTATTTGAAGAGGGTTGCAATAAATCTAAGAAAATCATTTCAATCTATCAAATGAAATTTTAAATACATATGATACGAATAAGAGGAGATGTACTGATCTTATGATTTCCTTTTAACTATACATACGAATGAAGTGATTTTTTTTGAAGAATTAGTACCTACCTAATATACAAATTAAAAAAAAACAAGTGAATTGAGAACCTCCTACTTTTATTGAAGTCGGTTAATTACTGTAGTCCCGTTAATCCCTCGTGGTAAGCTAAATATACCTGTATTACGAGTTAGACTAAGAGCTAGTGAACGCCAGACCTACGTCATTTTATAAAAGCTGAAAGTTTGTCAGCGTATGCTCCCAGTATAGGATATAATGTTGGTGAATTATGAAGTTTGGGTCATCGTGGCTTTGGGAGCTACCCTAAAAAAACTGTCTGCAAGAAGTTGGAACTGTCAATACTGTCTGGCTGTTGGGGAAAATACTTCTAAATATTGTCCAAATATTATACTTAAAAATCAGATTTAATGGTATAACGTTTGTAGAATTACAGTCTATTGAATATACAGAAAAAACCACCGTAAAAGTTAGTCTTACGTTATACCATAATATTTGATTTTTTATGTATAATATTTGGGCAATAATTAGTAGTATTTTCCCCAACAGCCAGAGTTTTGACATCCAGACATCATGACATCCAAACATCCAAACTTTCGCATTTATAATATTAGTAGGATATTGGGAACATACTCTGACAAACTTTCAGCTTTTATAAAATGACGTAGGTCTGGCGTTCACTAGCTCTTAGTCTAAGTGGGTTCACCTCAATAGTGCAGTGCTGGCGGAGTTCAAACCCATATTCCTCGGATCTCGATTCGGCAAGTCCGACACCGGGCTATTATAGCTTTTCTTTAATAAGGGGTTGTATCGGTTATGTTTGCGATTTTCATTTATTGATTTATTTATTAAAAATAGGTACACAAACAGATCACTGTACACAACATGTATAAAGCTACTTAAATAATATTAGATGAAATTCTGAAAAATAATACATTGGATAGGGTCGAGGACGTTTATTTATTTTTTAAAGATTTCTGTTACTAATTTCTAGTTTTAGTCTAACTCTAAAAAAAATAAAACCCGCCAGTGATTGACACTTCTGCAGCCTCAATAGCTAGAAAACAAGCTATTCATTGTAAAAAGCTGGACTTACAACAATAATGATTCTCGGCTATCTAGCGGTGATATCGGGACATAGTCTGAGATTACCCTCGTTGCAACATTGTTGGGATCGTAGAATTGTAAGGTCTATCTTGCGAAAGGGTCTGTTTTAACATAAGTGAAGTGAAACTAGCTGCTGTAAGGGAAATTTATAACTCGCTGCCACTCTTTACTTAAGTAAGCTGTTGTACTTTTAGTTCTTATAGCTGTATTAGTGACAAGATGCTTTGGTCCAGTTGTAGGATGTTTGTAAGCTGCTTTAGAATGGGAAAAATAACGTTGTTGTACTTTTAGTTTTTATAGCTGCATAACGTCAGTGATTAACGGATTAGCAAGCTGAAGTGGCAATGGACAGGGCACATAGTATGCAGAACTGACGGCCGATGGGGCAGCATGGTTCTGGAATGGAGGTCGCGTACCGGAAAACGCAGCGTGAGACCTGGTGAGACGTCCACCTACAAGGTGGACCGACGACATCGTAAAGGTAGCAGGGAAGCGCTGGACGCAGGTCGCTACCAAACTATCAATGATGAACGTTAGTGAAAATATTCTTGTCCAGTTGTAAGACATTTTCAAAGTATTAGATTCGAAGTGGATATAACTTGTGTGTGACCAGTGGATAGTGGTGTCAGACTTCAAGCCGCTATGGTGCCTGACAGACGGCTCAAAAGCTTTCTTGAACCACGAAATTGAACTGTCACAAGCCTACAATGTACCTACAAAACTGGGAACATAACCCAAAGTGATTGACATTTAGTCTGACTCAGAGCAGGCGCACACCGTTGATTTTTCGTCGGCCGATAGTTTAGTCGGGCAGTTGATCAGTATGGGCATGTATGGGAGTGCGCACGCTACGCCGATTCGATTTGGCCGATTCTTCATACAATTTAACATCGGGCACAACTATCGGCCAACTAAAAATCAACGGTGTGCGCCTACTCTAACAATCGAACCCAGAACTTTTGGACCAAAGAGTGCAACACTTTAAGCACTGGACCATGTCGTTTTCAGTGTGCCTACCATGAGTTTACGTTAGGTGTGCTCGCTAGCGACTGCGTAAAAAAATGACATTTAAATGTATGACATATTGTGCAGCGCCCCTAGCGGCTACTTTCAAGAAATAAAATCTTCATAGAATTTTTTGACGTATTCGCTAGCGAGCTCACCTAACGTAAACTCATGGTAGGCACACAGTTAAGAAGCGTGCAAGTAATTACGTATTATGACACATGTGAGGGTAAAGCAATTAGAAATGACAGTTTATTGTCAAACACAAAGCAAGTGTCGTGCGCGCGCCGTTCGTTGCGCTGATGTCTATTTAGGGAAGTGACGACGCTAACGATTTGTGAATATTTCCTCGGTATTCATTTAACGTGATTTTAGTATTTTAATGCACTTAATTAGCGACGTGT